CTTGTTTTTCTTCAACGATTGCTCTCGCTTGGTGCATTGACCAAACTACACGAACATCCGGTCTGTCCGGCCTAGTTACCTGCGTGAATGACAAAGTTATACGAGGGATTGTAACCTTGACTAATTCGGAGTAATACTCTTGTAACCACCTTTAGTTTTTTCACTTTTACGTGGGAATTTTCCAAAGTTCAAAACAGGGTCTTGAGTCATTTTCTGATAGTATGTTCATAGTCTCCGTTGCTTTTCCCTTCACAGCTTTCCGGTCGGTGCATTGACCAAACTACGCGAACATCCTGCCTGTCCGGCCTAGTTACCGGCGTGAATGATAAAGTTATACGAGGGATTGTAACCTTGACTAATTCGGAGTAATTCTCTTGTAACCACCTTTAGTTTTTTCACTTTTACGCAGGAATTTTTCAAAGTTCAAAACAATGTCATGAGTCATTTTCTGAAAGTATGTTCACAGTCTTCGTCGCTTTTCCTTTCACAGTTTCCTGGTTTGTGCATTGACCAAACTACGCGAACATCCGGTCTGTCCGGTCTAGTTACCGGCGTGAATGACAAAGTTATACGAGGGGTTGTAACTTTGACTAATTTGGAGTTACGCTCATGTAACCACCTTTAGTTTTTTCACTTTTACGCGAGAATTTTTCAATGTTCAAAATAGTGTCTTGAGTCATTTTCTGAGAGCATGTTCATAATCTCCGTCGCTTTTCCTTTCACAGCTTCCACTGTATCAAACCTGGTTCCTTTTAATGTTTGCTTCAGTTTCGGCAACTTAAAAAAGTCACGACGTACTTGATCTGGTAGGTATGGTGGATATTTCAACATGGTCGCTTTCTTTTTTACTCGCTTACGGAGAGTGGCTAGCACCTCAAGATAATATTCTTTATTCACTTTACTAATAATAGAAATCCATGGATATCAAAAAGATAATCATCATGGCCTTGAATTTTGTTTTGAACATTTGATCTTTCTTCAGTCGTAGTGACTGAGAATTCTCGCAGGGCATTGATTACCGCGTAGTTTCTGGGCTTACTGATTCCTTGTCGGTTCCTACAGACTCAGCAACTGGGCGTGGATCATATTCGATATCTTCTTGCCCTTCTGTAAAGATTTTAGAGCGCCCGTATACTGTTGTAGATATCACTAAAAAATTAACGTTGATACGTTGCTGAATTAAAATGACTTTCCGTGGCCCACTGAGCAACTGGTTGGAATGTGTAGGGGAAAGCCAGGCGAGTCGGTAGTATGACATTTGACCTCAAGACTTGCACCGTTTGTCACACACAAATCATTCTAGTGAAACTGTTGGTCCAACTAGCTCAACCGGTACACTATCCTCATTTCTAGGCTACAAATATCTCAGCTAATAATAGCTCAGCTTTGAGATCTCAATAAATAAAGGCTCAGGACAAACAATTCTCATGGACTGTAGGTATTTCCCTAGTTGATCGCCGTACCTACTCCTGTTTCTTCATATTAGGCACATCATTGACATATTTTTGTATTGGGATTTTTTGAGCTGAAATATTATCAGAGATATCATTCCGGAAATGAGAAAGAGAGGGAGCCGTCCAACTGTAGCGGTTATCAAAATCTGTGGTACACACAGATCTGGTCACTGGACATTGTGCATTTAGAGCCACTTGACCAAATAAGGCAACATAACGGAGACCTAAGCTGCAGACACTGCAACAAAGGAGCAGTTATAGCTTGCCATACTATGACCTGAATAATATGACATACAGAAACTAGTACAGAAAGTACAATATTTGAATGGGTATCATGAAAAGATGGGAAAAAAACTAGAAACGTCCCAGACGATGCAGTTTTTTTGGAAAATGTTTTCTACGAAATATCACGATAGGTTATATTTTAAGGAGTGACTAATTTTTTAGAAAAGAAAGTTTTTGAGCATGACAGAGTTCCATGTAAGTGAAATTTTTACCTTTCATTTAGTATGTTGTGTAGAGATCCTGTGAATGATATCTGATTCAATTCCTTTACGAATGCTTGGAATACAAACCGAATAGAGAAAAGTGTTTTCTATATAATTCAGTGTTCATATAAAAATATTTGTTTCGAAAGAATTTTTCTTTCGTGTAATTCAATGTTTATATGAAAATAGCTGTTTCAAGAAGGCTTTTTCTTCCAATTTTTGTCTGAAAGTTAATTCTTTGCATGATCTACACATCTGTGTAGAAAGTTACTTCTTTTAAAATTGATTACTCCCTTCCTTTCCTTGGAAGATTCCCACATTTTCCTGTACCAAGATGGAGTAGTAGAAAGCCAAAAACTTTTTCCCACTGCTTCTGCTGTTTTGTCAAAATATTAGTTTTGTTAAAATAACTCAGGTCTGATACGATTCTGGGATTTTAATTCGCAAAATCTCGCTTCCAAATGAAACAAAAGGGGTAAGGTTTTTCTATATAAAAACTAAAATTATCTTTCACAATGCATCTCCTGGAAGAGATGCAAGACTTCAGCATTGGTGATGTTTCACAGTGTTATCTGGGGATGGTCAAAACTGGAATATGTATCATTCAATGCAAAATATTGCATATTACTATCATGTTTACAGGCAAAACAGTTCCGGGAAAACTAAAATAAGACCGATAATTGAAGGTTATTTGGAAATGTATATAAATACAGCGTAGAGCAAGCACTATTTTTGTGCAACATTAATTATTATTTTTGCGCTCTGATCGCTTTTCACGGAAAATTAATAAATGATTTCGAATGCATCTGTTCGTTTTACCGAATTCTGATAACCAGTCTCTAAAGTATTTGCTGTTTGAATGATTAATGGTAGAAACCTATTAAAAAGTGACTCACGCGGTTTTCTCCATAAAAGAAGTACTACTCCTTCGCACGCTGCGAACACCTGCGGACGGTGTGTCAATTGAAAAAATTAGATGAATTGAAAGACAAAAGAAATACGCAGTAAGTTGCGGTTGCGGAATCATTGTGCAAGACATCGTCAAGCGATCTTTTGTTTTTCTTCTTGGGAATTTACTGGCTGGAATCGAGGAAGGAAATCGGAAATGTTGTTGGATGATAAATTGTTTCAGAGAGCTTTGGCCGAAGGAGAAAGGGTGTATGAGAGAATTTACTGTTTATAATGTCAGTGAACTCATTTCATTTGTTGTATTACATCTTATACATTTTGCCAGTACGCGCTGGAAGTTGAATAAAAAATGCCTCAAGGGTCGACACTTGGACCTTCATTAAACTGCATTTATACATGAATTCTACCTTCTGTGCTTAGATATTTTGAGATTCGCCATACAAACATATCTCTTATTTGATCAAAATAATGTAAACCAGAACAACACATTTTGGCATCGGAATCGAATAAATTCAAACTATATCAAGGCAAAATCGTTATTCTAGTTTGGTATATTTTCAAATATTCAATTATTTCATTGATAATTTGACTGTTCAACACAAAGTTTGAAGCATACCTCACACAGAAAAATGAATAAACGCGTAATATATACAGAAATGTGAAACTTTTTTTAGTTTGAAGGTGATTGACAATGTTTCATGATGAATTTCACTAGTTCGGACTTCCATTGTCTAATATATAAAATGATTTGAAATCCCTGAAACGACTAAAAAAGGAGAATTAAAAATGAATAGCAATTATATTAAGCAAAATAACCTGTAATGAAAGAATAGTGAAATAAAATACAAGTAGAAATAGAAAGATTTAACAAAAATAAAAAATATAAAGAAATAAAAATGAAAATAAAAAGTCAAGAGATTCCAAGACACGTTATTTCACGACGTTTCGATTGTTAGTATCTACAATCGTCTTCAGTCATCACCCCAAATGAAATTCAAACTTTACTTATTCCAATGAAATTTTAAAAAACCTGATATCTATTTTGACGTAGGTACATATAAAATATTTGAATTGAAAGGGTTACATATTTTTTTTTCTTTCAGTAGAAAGCCAAAAACTTTCTTTCCCATATAAAATATGTTCCGAAAAGTAAAATACAAAACAAAAGTGAATAAGTGAATGATTATTTCTCAGTAGATTATCATTTCAAAATTCTTCAATACTATCAAAACTTTTTTGAATTCAATATCGTTCAATGAAGACACCTCTGAACCTCTACCTGACGGACGCATAATTTCAAATTGTTGAATCTATTTAACGAAATTGCTGAAATTCAATTTGGCCTGTATGCAAATCTAGTTTCCTAACTGTGAATATCGTAGGTGCATTTCGCATACACTTTGAAAAATGTAGATACATGATCAATTTGATTAATTAATCACACAGCGCTTTTCTGGTACTTACTTCGACTAGTAGGCCTTTTTTGAAAACTTTTTACTAATTTGGGAGTGAAATCAAGCAGAATATGTATTTACTAATTTTTCTAAACTGCTAATACAACGTACATATTAGAAATAAGGTACTACTAGATATACCTTTGTTTGAATTTTCTATATACCAATTGGCGAAAAAACAATTTTTCAAATTATTGTCAATGGATTTGTCTGTCTGTTAAAATCTGTTTTTCAATTAACCAACTGTCGCCCCCCCCTCCTACGAACGACAACTCTCAAAAGTCGAAACTTGTGCGAGCTAAGGAATAACGAGGTCTTACCTTTTAACGTATGATTCCTAACACGACCAAACATCAGCCTTTCTTGAAAGTATAGTTTAATTTGGGAAGGTATTGATGACTGTAACACTCTAAAATAATAATGTTTCCTCAATATTTGAATTGAAGGGATTATATTTTTTTTATTTTCTTTCCCAAAAATTCCTCAATATCTTATTTCGGAGAATTTATTTTTGCAATTTGAAATGATGCATCATATATTGGTGCCTTGTTTCAATCAACAAAATTATAGTTATACATTCCTTCATTACATCTCGAGATTTTCAACGATTTTCATGAATTGAAATAAGTAAATTTTTTGTCAAAAAAATCATTATTCCTGTTCACCCTCAACAGTTCAATTTTTTTTTATTTTAGGGAAGATGGGCAAACGTTTGGGACTTACCTGATGATTGACGAATTGAGCAAGGAAGATTTCGGAACGTATGTGTGCACCATCAGTAAACCTGGAAATACGATAGAGAGATTCGTTTCTGTCATAGAAAAAGGTAAGTGTTTTCAACTAACAAATGAATTATATAGTTGAAATAGTATCTAAGTAAATAAGTATCTAGTGTTTCAAACTCATAGTTTGCATAGTTTATACATATCTATCGATCTATCAATTTTAATTGATTAGGTTCCAAGTGAAGGAATGTATTCTACCTTCTTCTGCAGTGCACTAAAAGAGTTCAACTGATTCGTTTTTTTCATGAATGATCTTTAATGTCTGATGGCAAAAGTGAAAATTTGCCAAAAACAGAACACCTAGTTAAGGCCGAGGCGGGGCAGGCAAAAAGTATATGCTCTGCTGTTTTGTCATTCATACATCCGAACAGAGATGACACACTATCTTCCGACAGCCCAAATATCTTCATAAGGTGTTTCAGCCGACAGTTACCTATAAGTAGGTCTGTTGGACAACGTTAATCCTATCATCTGGAAATCTGGAGAACAATTCTTTAGTGGCATATGTCAAACGATGTAGAAATGCCTTGGAATGACGATTTGTCTTAGATTTCGTCAGAACCAGTGATTGTTCGACAAAATCTAAAGCGATGTTAGTGACAGATTTTGGTGTGGTGAAATACTTTGAGCGCTCCTCGCTTGCAAGTCAATGTGAACAGGAATACAGAGACAAATTATTAAATCTTCCTACTGAGGAGAGTTTTTTTGGCAACTCAACATCAAATTAGAGCTGCTCAGTAAAATCCAAATGCTACCAGAGCTATCCGAAAATATTTTCATTGATTTATGCAGTAGCATAGATTTCGGTTTAGGTATGCGACTGTATACACGTGCACCAAATCCTGAAAGCGTTTTTGGTTCAGTTCTGAGCCAACAACTATATAATTAATACATATACAATACATGTGATGCACTGTTTGGAACCTTTGGTGTAGTAATGAATGTTACTGGATTTTTTTCCCAACACCAAACCGTTATTTTAACACCTCGACATGTGTTTCGATCACCAAGAGATTATTTTCAAGAGGAAGATCAAACCAGTTTGAAAAAACTCCAGTAATATTCACATATTGACAGATAAAAATATATTCTGGGACTCGGTGAACCATTTTCTCAGTTTTCATTGTTTTCAATCACACTCAACTAGCTGTTTTTTCTTATTTTCGCCCATTTTGGAATTTCAGTGGACGAAGTGGAGTACTTGAACCCTAATCCCGTTCCTGTCGTCAAAATGATCCTGATCATGTCAGCCGTGCTGTTTTCCGGTTTGGCTTTGATAGTCCTATACCTCAATTTCGGCCTGAAGGTACAGGTCAGGATGAAGGATGCCTTCAGTCCTCTCGAAGAGAACGATGGAAAGGAGAGAGACGCCATGATTGTTTTCGCCCCGCAAGATTCCGACGTCGCTCTGGGGGTGCTTCTCCCCACCCTGCAAGACCGGTTCAATTACAAGTGCGTTTCGAAGGAGTTGACCACCAGCGTCAGTATGTGTGAGTATTAAAATGTGTACTTCAAAAAATGTAGTTTTAAAAGAAGTTAATAAGGCGGAGATGCTTACTTTATACAATCATATTGATTCTCCTGAAATGTTCTTTGCTCGCATTGTGTGTCACAGAGAAGAATGAGAAAAAGACATATAAAATACTAAATTTTCTGACATTTTCTAGCTTCAAAATTCTGAGTTTTTGAAAATAAATTCGATCGTGAAATTTGGTCCTCAACTGGTTGAGCTAAACATCTAATTGGACTAATCCTTCTAAAACTGCCACTATCTATCTCCAAGATTATTCAGATGAATCTTCAACCTTCTCTGAGCGATTTATTCACAAAAATAATTACCAGTCTGAAAGATAGAATTGGAAACCCTGACCTAAAATGAATCTAAAGAAATCACTTTTTCCATATCAGAATAAATATTCTGAAAAAAAGTTTGAGCTAATCATGTCCACATATGGCCCAGGATTATTTTTCGTATTTTGGAAATTATGTAGATTTGAATGTGCGCTGGGTTATTTGCAACCACAGAAAGGAAGTCAAAAGATAAACAGATGAACTCTCCTCCGACAATCCACAATTCGACTTCAATTTAAGAGCCACCGGCGTACAGCTGTTTCAGTCTATTGGGCTCCGTTAGTACCAGGCAGGCGGTTTTCGACTCAAGACAAATTGTGGAGAATCAGGATGAGCACTTCATCAAATTACAAGCGATACCATAAGTGGAAACACCTTGTAAAGTAAAACCCAAGTTTGCTAATCCAATTAAATTTGAGTCTATGTGAAGTTGTTTTTTCTAGCGTTCATTTGTTGGGTATTCTCCAATGGTCGACGTTTTGCCATCATCTCAGATGGCATTATCATTATAGAGGGTGTCAATTTGTAAACTTCCCACACTCTTAATATCTGCCTTCTAGTAAACAATATGAGGAATCGAAAAAACAGATCGATTTAATTGTCAAGGGAGACACTTTCATGCACTATTCGTAGCATTCGTGATTCAAACCTCTAGGAGGGGTAGATGTTCCCTTAGAATGTTTAATGGGAAGGGCTGTCAAGTGGCACATCTTTTTGATTGGCTTTCAATTCTGCTTCCAATGGTACCCTGACATATTATTTTTTGATGAGCATTTTCCGAAAAATAGCATTTTAAAGTTACACATGTAATTATTAGTAAGCCTGGTATGACCAGAACTGGTAAGAATAGTAAGTGGTACCGTTCCAACCCTTTATTAGGGTAACATTAGCTATTAGCTCTAATTAATTTACATCAAAAAGTAGTCCAATAGTAAAAGGTAGATGGTAGTAAAGTTGTATTTAGTAAATGCTGAATTTTTAGTTCTCATCACAGAAATTGTACAGATAGCCGCCCTTTTTTGCTACTTCTGCTGTAAAAATTTTCTCTTTTCAGGCAAAAAATTGGTTCACAAATTTGAACGACGTGGTAGTACTTTAATAGGTGTATAAAAGTGTAAAAGTGGTTCACATTATTCAAGACAGAATTGAAATGATTATAATTTATGGAGAAATTGGAAAGTGCGCACGGAGGGGGGCATGTCTTTTGAACGAAAGACATCCAAATTGTAAGAGCTCCACGAGGATGATTATGATAGAAGAATAGAGTTTTGTGAAATCATGTCTCATCGAGTCAATACCATCCCTAATCTTCTGTTGAACATATGTTTCAGCAATGAGTGTTCATTTTTTCTGAATGGCAATGTTAATAGACAAAATTGTCGCTATTGGAATGACGAAAACTCACATATTTTTCGGGAAGGGAATACACAACACCCACAAAAAGTTAATGTTTGGGCTGGTATTCTTGGAAATGTCATTATTGGCCCATTATTTCTGAAAGAAAACTAGACTGGCAATCTGCACCTTGAAATGCTTGAAGAGACTATCGATCCTCTTATAACTCACGAGCTATAAACTCAAATTGATGCAGAAGGTATTGAACTTTTGCAGGAGGATCTGTTACATTTTTAGCAGGACGGTGCTCCCCCTTGACAATGAAAATGACCTGTTTTTTCGATTCCTCATATTGTTTACTGGAAGGTAGATATAAAGGGAGGGAAGTTTCAAAATTGACACCTTGTATATACACTAATAATAATTTTTACTTTCGGAGTTTCATCATTCATTTCAATGACAATACAATGACAATTTTATGAAGTGAAAAAAAAAACAGTTAACCTTAAAACAGTTTGCAGTTAGTAAAATAGAATACAACCTTGACAATTCAATAACAATGAAATAAGTTTTGAACAAATACCACTTTCTGGTCAACATTGTTTCAAAATAACAATGGACAATGATTCAATTTAGTTTTGTAATTTCTCTGAATTGAAATAACCGCAGAATCGACGATCCCCTTTTTGTGAAACAGCAAAATAACCAGAATGAGATTGCAATCTTAGAATAGATCCTCTTATACTTGAATTTATAGCAACAACAAAATAAAATTAAAAACTATTGTACGAAGACAATATCTGCACTTCTGTTATCATTGAAAACGTTCAACTATCAGAAATAATAAACTGAATCTTGGCAATCAAAAAACAAACCATTCTCACATGTTTTCGTTATCAGAATGAATCACTTCCAGGTAGAGAGTGTGTTAATCAAAATAAATTCTTCAACAAATGTTTCCTAATAACGGTGGTCGGAAATAACTTTTGGTAAATAATTTTGTGAAACCCGATTTCTTGATAATTTTATCAAAATATGAGTTTCAAATTAATCGTTGATAAACAGTTGATTCTAATTATAAACAAAGTATTTCAAGTTTACAACTTAGAATTTAGAAGCTGACAAAATGTTATTCGAACATTCTGTTACTTTGAATTGAAAATAGAGGGTACTTACTATTGCCAAAAAGTAAAAAAAAAAAATAAAATATTTTTATCGGCGATTAAAATATTCAGCGATAGTACCACAAATGTTTTGAAGTTTTGTCAGACAAAATAAGACAAAAATATAAATATTCATTCTTTGTTACATGAACAAATATTTTTTTGTAAACGTCATTGACTACTTTGGTCATTAGCCTCGTGTTCTGGGTAGGCAATGTTAATAACAATTAACGACTGTTAGAAGTTCAGCCTTGTAACGTTGCCAACATTGCAGAATCATCCCAACTTCGACTAGATGAATTTTCTCCAGAAAAATGTCTGGTTGAGTTGGGGATTAGGTTATGTTAGGTCCAAAGTGAGTGGGTCTATTCGACCCTCCACCGCAACTCGCAAGGGTTTATTGTGGCTCACACCTATTCTCACTCGGCCAAACAAACCCAGCTTCTTAACGAAGCCGATTAGTTTATATGGTGAGTGGTATTTCAGGTCAGAAAGTAAGAGTATGGCTCTGCCGAACTCTAAAGGCCTAATTCGGTCCCCAACGGGGCAGGCACAAAGTATATGCTCTGTTAATGAGGTAGTCGGATAGTCAAGTTGCAAGATTCCCACCTTGATACCCACGACAACCTTCCCATATGAGGGTTTTTGTACGTCAGCTACATCTGACGATGCCTTAGATTCAGCCGTGCAGGGCTTTTTCGCCTCTGGTTTTGGTGAGACCTCATTTGAGCGCAAACGTTTGCTAACCTGCTCATGGGGGGTTAGTTCCCCCACCTGAGACAGATTCTGCGTACGCCGGAGCTCTCGCTCCTGAACTAAATTTACAGGGAGGTCAATTGGAGTCGTAAACTCGACATACATCTCCTCTGTAGACTCGCTCCTTAACTAAATTTACAGTGTGGTGCGTTGGAGTCGTAAACTCGACATCCATCTCCTTTGTAGACTCGCTCCTGGATTAAATATTACAGGAAGATCAGTTGGAGTCGTAAACTCGACATCCATCTCCTCTGTAGAATCACTTCTGATCTAAGTTTACAGGGAGGTCAGTTGGAGTCGTAATCACGACATCCATCTCATCTATAGACTTAGCGTCAGAAAGAATTTTTTAAGTTTACTCTGCCCATGAAGGTCCCACGAGTAGCTAGGAAAAGGTCAATCTTTACAGGAAGATCAGTTGGAGTCGTAAACTCGACATCCATCTCCTCTGTAGAATCTCTTCTGATCTAAGTTTACAGGGAGGTCAGTTGGAGTCGTAAGCACGACATCCATCTCATCTATAGACTTAGCGTCTGAAAGAATTTTTTAAGTTTACTCTGCCCATGAAGGTCCCACGAGTAGCTAGGAAAAGGTCAATCACGGCAGAGCCCCGCATTACCGTGACAAGGCGATGCTACGACGAGAGGGCGCCCGGTATCTCGAAGGTTCCGTAGAGACAGCTGATAGGCTCAGTGTCATTCATCCTCTCGGCACGGAAAAAACACACTTTAGAATTAAGCCATCGTTGGGATGCCATTCAGTTAGGGAATAACAGAACCACAAGTGATTCTGTCATTTCCGTATCCAGCAGGGCTACGTGGAAGCAGGCATCCGATAGCCGGTTTGCTCAACCCCCACATCCCAAACCAATGCACTCGCCAAAACAGCATGTACAGTGGTCCAGGCAGTGAAAGATGAACAAGAACAGCCAACCCGCCCAGTTGGGGGTAGAACCCACTACCTTTCGATCTTAAGTCGGGCGCCCTACCACTGCACCAATTCACCGCTAGATAAATGTTATTCTACAAAATAAAACTTGGAGTGTTGCACTGTTTTTAAAATCACCAATAACTATGCAATATTACATAGATGTATACTTAAAAGTTGAATACTTTTGGTCTGGTCAAGTATAAATTTTAACTTTAGATCAAAATTTCGACATCCTATGGTGCTGATAGTTTTGTGTGTGGAAGAACAATTCATAAGAATTGTTACAGAACAATTCTAGAGGCCGATTTTTCAACTGTAATAATCTGGACCAGTTCGAAATGATAACCGATATTTTTGCACAGGCATTATTTTTGACTGGACCTTTTGTTCCCACTGATGTGGACTACTGTGAAACGTTTTGTTTATTTGTTTTTTTCAAATTCCAGGGTATACACAATTGAAAGAAGAAGCCCAAAAGTGTCGACGCATCATCGCCGTGCTATCACCAACTCTGCTCAAGGAAAACTGGGAATGCAGCCAAATCCTTGAAGCTCTCAGACAGTTGCGATCCCTGGGTCCACAGCTGATCTGCGTCTCTCTGAAGGAACTGCCAAAGAACGAGAATGAAGTAAAAAATGCGCAAGGTGAAACACTGGCGGCTCTCTCACGGTCTTTGGGTGTCATCTTGTGGGAACGGAAACAGGACCAGCGCTTCTGGTACTCGCTACGACTGAGATTGCCTCCGAAGAGAAACGAAGCTTTAAGTGAGCACCAGACGAGCTCTGACTGCCTGGACAATTTGGTGTGATTCCATCACTGTTCACCACAAATGAACAGTTTGTTCAATTGTAAATATTTATTAATTCTTGTTCAATATTGTTTTATTTTTTATATTGAAGTAATCGATTGTTAAATAGGAAATGACTTATTTGTCGTGATAATGTGTTTCTTTAACGATATGGATGTGACCTTAGCGAAAATTCTTTCAAGTGTATTTCTTGCAAACAGTTTATGGGTGACACGGTTTTCATGAAAACTTGAGGGATTGGAAAGTATTATTTGACGAGGTTACAAAAAGAAAGTGAGCAATCGAATGTGATACAATTTTTTAATGATTTGTAATTTCGTTTCGGTTCGACAATCATCACGTCTGTATTTTGACTGATTGTGGACTTATTTTGAAAAGGCATTAGATGCCTCTAGAGAATGATATATGTGAGTTAAATAATATCTGAGATTTTGTATTTTTTTGTACTGATTATTTTCCCTTCGGTATTGCAAATGTTTTTGCAGTCTAGAATAAGAATCGACAACTATTTATTGATATAATTTTATTTAAAATTGTCTAAAAGTGAAATTGTGATTTTTCTTATCTTTATTACTATATTATGGTGTAATTGAAACTTTTTCTACAGAAAAATATAAAACTGATTTACAAAAATATCTTTTGTTGAAATGATACATTCATATTGTTTTATTGAAGTTGTAATAACATAAAGTGCATTTTGAATATCAATAAAAACTATATGAATGAAGTATTTTTTTTCTACAATTCCTGCTTCCACTAGCCCCAAATATTTATCTAGTGATTGAAATATGCTCTAATATTACAGTGTCTTTTTCCCATTTTTCCATTTAGAACCAAAAAAGGTGATTGTTTGTAACAATTGTACCATGATGAAATATTTTTTTATGAAGTAATGTCCCTCTAAAGGATGTCCTGAATACTTAGCTTTTGAATATTGACAATGTTGTAACTAGGCGTATTACGGTAACTGCAGCTGGCATTTTGTGAAATTTGATGAATTTGAAAGTTAGGAGTTTTGGAAGTAACTTTACTATCTGCTTGAAAACCCAGCTGAAGAGCATTCGCAAAGAATGGATGTGCTCAACTCTGAGAAGTGAAAGTTCGTTCTTTTTGGAATAGTTAACGAATAGTTCCTCTCAGAACTACCTGGCATCATTCACTTCTTCATTTCATAACTATGTGTTCCTAGGAACGTATTTTCTATTTTGGGCATCATTTTGAGGTAAACTCGGGACACACCGAAAAAATTGCCGGACTGAATAAAACCAAATGAATAGCAAGATACCAGAAGACACTGGTCCCAATGGACAAGAGGTGTATGCACAGAGCCAGCAGAGTCCTGCTGCAAGAACTGCAAATCCTCCGAAAAAGACAGAAAAACACGGCTTCTGAAACTCAATTCCGCAGACCAATCTGCATGGAAATGCAGAAAGAACTGAGGAAAGGACGCCGAAAAATATGTCTTTCAATACACCAATGGAGAGAAAGCCGAAGCATTCGCTGACTATTTCGATAGACAATGTAGAGAAAGTGATGTCCTCTTCAACGACAAGGTGGAAAATATCCAGCAACAGTTCGAACATATGGTACGCATGATCAGAGGAAGTCAGAGACATCATTAGAAGTAGCTTTTTTAAACGCTACGTATACTTGGATTAGTGGAAGCTTCTGCTGTTACAAATTCTCCAGGAATTGAGACTCCTGGCTCTGGTTCTTTATGGAAAGCGGTATCCGAAAATATCTCCTCGCTTTTATGCTGTCCTGATAGGAAGTTATGGTTTTGTAAATTCATCAAATACAACAAAATACTGACTTGAGATATCTCGTCTCCTGATTGTAGAAATTGGTTCTGTATCAAAATAACAGAAATGCAAGGAGATATATCTAAAGGTCGGCTTCATATATCTCCTCGCTTATTTCTATGCTGCCCTGATAGGAAGTTATGGTTTTGTAAATTCATCAAATTCAACAAAATACTGATTTCAGATATCTCCTCCAGATTGAACTGTTTCTGTATTAAGATAACAGAAATGCAAGGAGTTATCTTTATATGTCGGCTTCAAATACTTCCTCGCTTTTATGCTGCCCTGATAGGAAGTTGCGGTTTTGTAAATTCATCAAATTCAACAAAATAATGACTTTAGATATCTCGTCTCCAGATTGCAGGAACTGGTTCTGTATCAAGATAACAAATATCTCCTCGTTTTTATGCTGTCCTGATAGCAAGTTATGATTTTGTAAATTCATAAAATACAACAAAATACTGACGAGATATCTCGTCTCCAGATTGTAGGAATTGGTTCTGTATCAAGATGACAGAAATGTAAGGAGATATCTCTAAATGTCGGCTTCAAATATCTCCTCGCTTTTATGCTGTCCTGATAGGAAGTTATGGTTTTGTAAATTCATCAAATACAACAAAATACTGACTTCAGATATCTCGTTTTCAGATTGTAGGAACTGTGTCTGTATCGAGATAACAGAAATGCTAGGAGATATCTCTAAATGTCGGCTTCAAATATCTCCTCGCTTTTATGCTGCCCTGATAGGAAGTTATGGTTTTGTAAATTCATCAAATACAACAAAATACCGACTTCAGATATCTCGTATACAGATTGTAGGAACTGTTTCTGTATCAAGATAACAGAAATGCAAGAAGATATCTCTAAATGCCGGCTTCAAATATCTCCTCGCTTTTATGCTGCCCTGATAGGAAGTTATGGTTTTGTAAATTCATCAAATACAAGAAAATACCGACTTCAGATATCTCGTCTCCAGATTGTAGGAACTATTACTGTATCAAGATAACAGAAATGCAAGGAGTTATCTTTAAACGTCGGCTTCAAATACTTCCTCGCTTTTATGCTGCCTTAATAGGAAGTTACAATTATTCATCAAATACATACAACAAAATACTGACTTCAGATATCTCGTCTCCAGATTGTAGGAACTGGTTCTGTATCAAGATAACAGAAATGCAAGGAGGTATCTCTAAATGTCGGCTTCAAATATCTCCTCGCTTTTATACTGTCCTGATAGAAAGTTATGGTTTTGTAAATTCATCAAATACATACAACAAAATACTGACTTCAGATATCTCGTCTCCAGATTGTAGGAACTGTTACTGTATCAAGATAACAGAAATGCAAGGAGTTATCTTTAAATGTTGGCTTCAAATACTTCCTCGCTTTTATGCTGCCTTGATAGGAAGTTACGGTTATTCATCAAATACATACAACAAAATACTGACTTCAGATATCTCGTCTCCAGATTGTAGGAACTGTTTCTGTATCAAGATAACAGAAATGCAAGGAGATATCTCTAAATGTCGGCTTCAAATATCTCCTCGCTTTTAAGGTGTTACGGTTTTGTAAATTCTTCAAATTCAACAAAATACTGACTCCAGATATAAAGACCTGGTTCTGTATCAGGATAACAAAAGGCGCAAAGAAACCCTGGTGTTTTTATGAACTCCTTTTAGTTTTGCCAAAAACTGAATGAGTCACTTATTTCGCACAGGTACCGCTCTTAGAGCGCCTTAAGGGTTTTCCTTTAGTGTTTGTAAAAAACAGTTGTATTAAACAGTTTGAAGAAACAATTTATTCATGTGATACTTTGTGTTTCACAATAGCTTCTCTGGATTTTCATCAAGTATCAGTCAATTGCATCACATATTTAGTGAAATGAAACAAAATTGAAAAATATTAATTTATATATTACTCTTATTACATAGTACAATGAAAAGTTTCACAAACAACATAGTATAAAAAGACTTTCAGTGTTTTTCTCTAAAAATTTCGAGCCTTGTAGAAATAGAAACTCATTACAATTTCACTTCACTTCAATAATAGCCTTCATTTTCCCAAGAAACTGTTACAGTATACGTTTTTTGATACAATAAAACAAAAACCTAAATTTCGTTAGAAATAATACTGTAATGTGAAGATCTTATATAACAATAAGGAAAGGTTGATAATACAATTAGGATAAATGAAAATGAGTTAGGAAGATGAAAACTTGTTGGATGAAATAAAATAGAACCCCGTGTTTTTTATGGTTACTTTCTAATTATCAGTCGACATTGGAGTGATTTATGTTCTGCTTATCAAAACATCATCAAAGTTGAAATATACATCAAAGCTTTTGTCGATAGTAAAACTTTCCCTGAACCACATTATCATTCAGTTTCAAAGCCCGCCGTCACTTGTTCTTCAGTAATCTGTATTTCCTCTTCGAAAACCGTCCGCAATACACACCGATCAAAAAAATCATTCCAACTATGGTGAACAAAATGATCGTAAAGTAGTTCTTAGAAGGTGACAGTGTCACTTGATGCAAAAGTTCTCCGAGGTCCTCCGGAGTTTGGATCTGGAAGGAGGAAAACCGTTTGGTTCAACAAATATTTGTATGAATTATTACCAATTTTTACCACTTGAGCCGCGTTTTTATACATCTCCAATCTTTCTTTGAGCTTATTCTGGCAGTCCACAGATAAGTTTTGAGTTGAACTTTCCATTACAGTTCTGAGGCAATTGATATCTGAAATAAAAATGATTGAAGCTATAAAGATAATATTTAATAAACCATGGGATACTTCATCTTTGGAATTATACAAAATGACAATGATGTGACTTTGAATCATTTGATACTCTTTAAAAACGCTGAATTCATATAAAATTTGTCAAAAAATCTTCTGAAAAGTAATATTCAATTATTAAAAAATTATAAATTGCATGATCATGATACAAAAAGTTCCAATAATTTTCATTTTGATGTACTTAATACATATTACCAAAGGAAAGAATAATTCGATTTCAAATTGCCTGAAATATATATATATATACATA